TAATTTATTTTCAGATCATATATTGTAGATAGAGGTTTGGTGTTTTCAAGTAACGTCTTCTTCAAACATTTGATCAGTACACCCATGATTCCATGAAGAGTCCACCCAACTCTAACAAAACAAAATCCAATTTTCAAATTTTCTGGCCCATGGCTGGTTAAAAAGCACAAACCAAACTTCTAGAAGCATCCTACGTTCTTACATGTAACTCAACTAGTTCATGGGTGGCCAAGAAGCATCCTAAAGTACAAGAAATCCAACATCAAACGAGTCATTTCTACTCCTTAATCCATAGTTTACAAAAAAAAGGGGGAGGTTAAGATGTGACAAATCAAATCAAATATAATCGTAAATTTGGAAAGGTCTCAATTAAAATGTAGCGTATACGCATATATCTTATAGTTACAGTATCTCCAAAGAAAATATCAAATGAAAAGTATAAAATTTGAATTTGATGATTTATATGGCAATTTCATGTTCACGTGATAAATTGACATATCGATTGGAAATATCAAATGATAAACCCTAGTGAACTTACTCGTTTGTGCAACCTCCTTCCTTGGTCTCATTTGTCTTTTGCTGATTTGAGTTATGCATCTAAACGCAAAACTCCCCTATGTTCTACCAACCTCCATTAACTCTCATCAAATCCGAAAAACAATCAATTGATTTGGTGTGGTTAAGTGATAGACTTGGACCCAATTATGCAAAGTAAGATAGACGCCACAAATTAAAGTGCAAATCTCATGACTAAAAAAGGGGACACGCACAGAGAAGAAATACAAGAAATATGAGACATACATTTGGTATCATTATTTTTGAGAAACCTCGACAATATGAAGAATTGGTTAAGAGTGTTCCGATTTCTACTTAACTAACTTCATTTGCCTATTCCTTTTTTAAAAATTAGTTGCAAAAATGTTCATATATATGCCGTGAATTTGATTAAAATGAAGAAAATAAAATAGTTTGATAGCCAAGCATTTGAAGTTGTGATCTGTGTCATACGATTTGAAGATTGAAGAAGACCCATCCCGCTCCAGCCATGAAATGGCTGTTGACATTGGACCCAACAAAACGCCCAGATATACAAAACCTAACTTTATTTATGAGCATGTGCTCTTCATAAATTAAACACTAATATTCTATTTTATTCATATCTATTTATATATAACACAAGCATTCAATATATTATTCTCTTGTATGCAAGTTAAGGGCAGGTTTTTTTTTTTTTTTGGTTAATCAA